CACACACACACACACACACACACACACACACACACACACACACACACTCTTTCTCTCATTGTATTTCCTTCCTATAAAAATCAGGGACCACTGTTTTTGGCAGTATGTGTCTTCTGGAAGAGATGTTGTGGAGTTCTCGTCATTTCCCAGGGGTTCCTGCAGAGACTGATGCACCAAGGGAGGACCATGCATGGAGAGGACCTAGACCCCCTGCTCAGATGTGGCCGATTGGCAGCTCAGTCTCCATGTGGATCTCTGAGTGAGGGGAGCAGGGGCTGCCTCTACCATGAACTCAGTTGACTGCTCTCTGATCATTTGCCCCTCATGATGCAGCCTTGACAGGCCAGGGAGGAAGAGGATCCAGTCAGTCCTGATGAGACTTAACAAGTTATGGGCAGATGGCTATAGTGGAGAACTCCTGCTTTCAGTGGACTAGGGGAAGGGGATGAGAGGAAGAAGGAGAAATGGTAGGGGAGTTGAGGGAGGGGGCTTCAATCAGGATATATAATGAATAAATTGTAAAGAAAAAATTAAAAAAAACCTCATTCTTAAGGTCCTCCTGGGGTAGCCCTGAAGCTCATGAAGGGTTAAAGGCACACTACAGCTTATAAAAAGGCCTATACCCTGACTCAAACTGAGGAAGAGTATTTCTTGCTCTTTAGGTCCCATGCCCTGTCCTTATTCATGAACACCTCTGCCTCGGTACTTGGCTGACTGATGTCAAGGCAGTGACGTTGGTTCATGACCTTTGGGTAAGAGAGGCATGTATTTTGGGATGATTTTAGTATTTCAGTATAGTCAGAAAGTTCAAATAAAAACATATTAGTTCTATAGATAGTCTTAAAATTTCAACTAATTGACCCACTACAAACATAGTAGGTTAAAGAAGGTGTAAAGGTGAAATGCCACTTTTTTTTTTTTAATGTAGCACTATGTAAGAATTTACATGCATTTGGCCCAGTTGGCGGACTCAGCAACTGGGTTGCTGAGCACGTTTGTGTTTAGGCTCCTGTGGAATGCCATGTAGTCAGGGTATCTGTGCAGTAAGTGACAGAGGACACACCTGTTTCATTGTTCACTGCCAAACTTCCAAGAAAATAAAAAATGAAAAAATTGGCTTTTAGGTGCAAAAAAAGATACATTTTTTTCCATGTGTGTTGATATCAAGGCCATTTCATCACCTTTGGAAAAAAGATGAATGTTTTTCTAAGGCCCCTGATGTTTAAATAATAAAAGAAGTAAAATGATTAAATTGTTGGAGCCAAGAGAAGGATATGCTATTAAGCTTTCCTTTGGGACTAGATTTTTCTATAACTGGCAGGAATATTTTCAAAAACAGCTCCGGGAAAAATTTTCACTGTCATCATTTTGAATTAGGAGAGCATGCGGGGTTACAGTTTCAAATGCAAGGGAGAGTGAACATTGTGGTTGTAAGATCTCTCCTTACAGCTCAGGAGCTCTGCCCTCTCGGTGCAGTCTTACTTCCTTGATGCAAACATGGGGCTGGAGCTGGGATGTTTGTAGTGTTGGAGCTAGTGAGTATCTATTACTGCTTGAAATACTGTTGAAGGAATATGCTCATTCCTAAAATTAGCAACCAGGGTTGGCAGAGTGCATTATCAGCTACCCTGTAGACTCATGAGATTCCAGAGTTGGGAAGGATCATGAAACTACATTAGACACAGTCCCTTTGGCCCTTTGGCCAGGCCAGCCTGACTGCTGTAGGAAGTGTGTTAGCTTAGACCGTGATGAGGGAGCACTAAATGGCTGATAGTTAGCGCTAGAGAAGCCATCTGGACTTCTGGGACAGCGGGGCCCTCCTTCATTGCAGGTAGCTGAGTCTTGGCTTGGTTCGAAAAGTGGAAACAGCAAAGTAGTTCTGAGTCCTGTGGTCCACCCACACTTCCGTGAGGACTGCAGCAGCTCCCTCGTACTGCATGGGATCTAAAGCATGGGGCATAGTGGAGGGATGCTTACATGTGCGTGCCCGCAGCCGATTACGCTGTGCTCAAGCTCTTTAAAACTCTATCCCATTTGTCCACCTCCTGCATTCAAGGTAGGTCTAATATCATGATGTACAGAGGAAAGTGAAACTCATAAAGGCTTAATAATTTGTCTAAATCATGCTAAGTTTTGGTGAGATTCATATTTCGAAGCAGGTCTAATAAAATGCGGTGCCCATGACTTACGTAGGACATGACGCTCAAGTGATCTTGACAGTCAAGTACCAGTCTTTCAATGATTAAAAAAATGGCTTAAGCATTTGGTCCATTGTTAGGTCAAACTTTAGAGTACTAACCCAAATGACATGTTAAGTTAACTTCCATGATGCTGAACTCCTCAGTGGATTTGAATTAGTCACCCTCAAAACACAGGGCTGCAGAATTGTTTTCCCTTTGGTTGTGTTGTCCCTGGCTAAGGTGTACACATTTGCTCTTTGGGGGACTGAGGAGCTGACATCCAGAGATGCTGAAGTAGCTTGGTCTTTTCCTTCTCTGATGCCACTGGTGATGTGGCCACAGAGAGTCTGTGGTATCTCAGGGGTCATGGAAAGTTTCTGGGGCAGCTGCCCTAGTCAACTCCAGGGATGCCTTGGGGATTTACACGGGGTTCTCATGAGCTCTGTGGTTACCACTGTGGTAGTGGCGGGGAAGGAGTATACCATATCACATAGAAAGGGTGAAGGTGAGCTTAGGCCCAGAGTCGTCTCAGCTCAGCCTACAGTGTCCATGCTTCCTCCCAAACAACAGGGTACTTACTTGAGAGGAGAGTGAGAAAAGGATATTGTATTCAGCCTTGCAAGCTGACCTGTGGGTGACAAAGGACACAAACAAGAAAGGTGACATGTCAAGTCTGCGAGGCAGTCAAGCTGGTGAATTATTTGGCTGGAAGCCATGCACAGAGACACAGAGAGGAGAGTCCAGAGAACAACAGAAGCATTCCGTCCATCCTGTCACCTCCAGCTTACACAGCCTTTGAAGAACACCATGCCACCATACTCCAGGATATGCATTTGAGTCAGAACACATGGCCCCTCCCCTGCTCTCCTCCTTGAGATCATTTCCTTGAGAGCACCAAGCATGGAGAGGCAAGGAGAGTGAGAGAGACCACAGATTCACCGGGCACAGCAAAACTCCAGCTAGATCATGTCATTAATAGAATCCCCATTTACTTTACTCATGTGGCATTGATTGCTAATTCATTAAGAATATAATACTTGTAGACTATAGACAAGTCACCTAAAAATGCAGAATTATAGTTTCTGTTGTCACTAAACCCCAGGAACCGATGATAAACTTGATGAGTAGGGCCCGGCAGGCATCTCCAACACCCCAAATCAGACTTTTGACGATCTAGCTACATTTCTCTCCTCCATCTGCAGACCCACATAAAATGCCTATAGAGTACCACCCCTTAGGCTTCCCAGAGGTTCCCTGACATACAAGGCTGGTTCTTTCTATGGATAAAGCCACAGAAGTCACAAAGAATTCTCACTCATCAAGCTCTGCAATCAGGTGAACATTTTTTTTTTTTTTTTTTTTTAGCACAGGAGCATGGCTCTACACACTTATTATTATTAATATTTTTGAAATGGCTTGAAAAACATCTTCATTGCTCCCGAAGATTTCAGTTGCTAGGCTGAAAAGGCTAAAGGCTCATTTTAAGCAACACTTTGTTTGGGTGAACTTGGGAATCAGTTTCTCTGCTGTTTGGGAACATTTCAAGGCTCTGTGTACACATAGCACAGAACCAAGAGACAGCTGGCACTCACTGACTCTCTGCCCTGACAGAGTGTGTGTCTATGTGAGAGAGAGAGAGGCCCACTGGTGGCCTAAGATGGTGGAGAAAGCTTGTGTGGTCAGCTGACAAAACATCTGATAGGAAAGCTGGGACCAGCTGGCTCTGCCACACAAACATCCCTGAGCCCTCAGAGCCCAATAACACACCTGTGGAGAAGCAGGCAGTGGGCCATTCCCAAGGGGCAAATTCACTATTCTTGGCAAGAATAAGTAATTATATTATTCTTGGTTGCATGAGCCATGTCCTGGGAATTCTCAGATGGGTTGGCATACACCAGCCCATTTCAGTGTCTGTCTATCTGCGCCTTGCCTGCAGTTCCCCCATTGTTTCTCAGTCAGTTCTGCCCCCTTCCTACTTATGTTTGACGTGACACAGGCAATGAGGAGGTCACAGGCAACTCAGGGGAGCAGCTGTGCTGGCGTGCATTTGTTTGCCTCGTGCCATGTCCTTTGTGTGATTATTATTACTTTTCAACCTTTTATTTAATACGTGGGTGTATATTTTTACACGTTTGCATTTGTGGTGTGTGCGCAGGCATGTGTGCATGGACATATGTTTGTGGGTGCAGGAACTGACAAGAGCGTATGAAAGCCCAATGTTGATGCCAGGGGTCTTCCTCTATTGCTCTCTACCCTATTCCCTGAGGTCTCCTAACTGAACCCAGGGATCACTGATTTGGCTAGTCTGGCTGGCCAACTGGGGTCTCCTGTTTCTACCTTCTGATTGCTGGGATTACAGGCTGGGCTGCCACGCCTTTCCGACATTCAATTGGATTCTTGAAACCCAAACTTCAGTCTTCACGCCTGCTCTGCAAGAGTGTTATCAATTGAACCATCTCCCCAGGCCTCTATATTTTAACTTAGGGAAAAAAAAAAAACTTTCCTCACAATCCTGAGGTGCTTGTATTGGTCATCACCACGACTCTTCCAAAGTCACAAAGGCCCTTTTCACTTTCCAGATGGCAATTTGGAAGAATAGAGAGCTACAAGAGGTGTTTAAAACAGTGCTGTCTGGGATGCACAAACTAAGGGATACCACCAGAATATTCTGAAAAAGTAGAGAAGAAAGAGGGAATGGGCAGTTGTGGAGGGCCGTGGGCAGGGGCAGGGATGCTGCTGGCCCCTGTACCTGGTAGGCCTCGTCCTGCAGCTTCTTCTTCAGGTACTCCTCCATCTGCAGCTCACTCTCCAGCTGCCGCACAGACTCATTCTCGTAGTTATCATCCTCCGGTTGTACATAAGGATCCCCGTCTTCTGGGACCCTGGGAAAACACAGCAGGTGTTTGGAAGTAACATCTTAACAGAGAGGAGCAGGTGGAACTCCAATCCTTTGCTTTCTTCCCTCCTGTGTTTCCCTGGAGCCTCCCTAGTTCATGTTCATGTTGCCTTTGACGCAAAGGGAAACTTACGAAAAAGAAAAGGCCTGGAGAATATGCAAATACAATATTTTCATTTTAATCAAACCTGTCAAGGAAGTCACTGGCCATTTATGTTTTCATATGGCATACAGAAATGATAGCCCTTAAAATATTCTACAAGGCAAATATGTCTTTAGAAGGGATGTATAGTTTCACGATATGAGAGGTCCTTTTATATCCTTTCTGAAAGGAGAGTGAGCCCTCTAGTGAAATAATGCTTAAGGAAATGTGTGCACGATTTAACTGTCTTTGTGTTGCAAAGACACAAGCTTAAACACACACACACACACACACACACACACGCTAGTGCACACATATATGTAAGTACACTTTATGGTAAAATAAGTCTTATAATATCAGCAACTTGATACTAGGACATCACACCTGTAGCTCTTGACCATACAAATTTTTACCAGCCCTGAATCTGAAAAATCCATTTGCATTGTCCAGTTTTAATATAAGCAAATAGGAATGACCTCATTCACTAATGGGGACTTTTTTCACCCATTCCTTCCACGTGTAAAGGACTTACAGGACTGAATGCAGGTTCATAATCTAAATCAAACCCTGTTCCTGGGGCTAAAACAGCACATTCTTAGGCAGTGCTGAGAATAAAACATGCTCCCAAATGACAAGATGAGTTAAGGAGAGCTTGGGATAGACATTATATGCCATTGTTCACGTTTATCTTATCGATGGGGCATATTACTTTTGGACGCTTAGGGCCAATTTTAAAGAGTCCATGAGGCTTCCATCAACTCTCCATTTTCAACTACCAAATCATTTGTTGAAAGCTGGTCCTGGTCCCTGGCTACCAAGGGAGAGCAGGTCAGAGGTGGGGAGGCCTTTCATACCTTGGGTTTTAGGACTGGGGTAAAGATGTGTTAAGTAGTTACTATAAAATGCATAATAAAAAGCTAATATATATATATATGTGTGTGTGTGTGTGTGTGTGTGTGTGTATTTACTAGAACAACACGACAATTAATTCACCACTTTGAATGACATATCAAGCAATTCTAGATTTTATAGGCTAGGACAAGAAAACAAACTAAAAATAGAACCAGCCACACACTGCCACTTTAGATGATGTCGTAACCATTTTGTTTGCTCTTACAGGCTGCCTTCCCACAGCTGGCTTTCAAAACAGGTCTCTTTATAACTCTGGTACTTCTGGTCTTCTACTCATTACTTAGAATGAGAGCCAGAGCACCACAAAGACTTCTGATTGGTCTCTTCATTGGCTCCGTAAAACAGCCAGTTTATTCTGTAGACCAATTGGAAGCACTTTTCGCATTAAGCATTATCCCTCTGTTGTGATCTTAGGGCTTCCCGCCCTTGTGTAACCTTTATCGTAACCCTTGCTCCATCCCCCCACCTCACTTCCTTCTCTTCCTTCTTACTTTGTTCCTTCCCGAGCTGGGCTCTCCAGCTGGGCCCCTAATTTTCCCTCTGTCTCAGCCTCTGCTGATGGAGGGTCACAGAAAACCCAGCGGGAGTGTCACTGATGCTGCAGGCTCTGGTCAAAGCACACAAACCTAGCCAGGTAATGAGACAGATGACAGGAGCCAACTCTCTGTAAGGGTGCTTGGTTTGGAGTCACACATTTTTCAGTATATTTGGAATGTTAATTCTTAGTCTTGAGCACAGGCAGTCTTCACTTGTTTTCCTATGAATGAGCAAACTGTTGGGACTGGGCTGTTTGGCCCTCTGGATGACAGCCAACAGGGACCTCTCTCTTATCATTGCTGTCTTCAGTGGGACACCATCAGCTAAGCAGCACTGCCTTTGACAAATGGCCGCCTCCAATTCTGGAGTTCTGACTGGAAGTCTGCACCATTACCCTGAAGGAACACCACTCCAGCAGCCAAAGATGACTGCATCCACAGGGGCTGTGAGAGCCACAGTTTCTGTCTGAAGAGTCCTTGCTCCTATCACACATACTCTAAGCAACTCTCTCTGGCTTTGGAAGACTCCGTTCTATGAATTCGAACAGTAAATAACTCAAGGCATCTGGAAACAATATTTGCTCAGGATGGGGAGAGGACAAACCGTCCCATGACTCAGCAAAATGTCTGTGTTTGGTGAAATTTGAGGCTTGTGTGTACACATGTACATAGAGAGATAGTCTTTGCTGTCAGGGTCATCTGGAAGGCATCTTTCTTGGGCATTATCCCAACAAATGAGTCTCCTGATGGTCTTTTGCTTACTTACGGCCTTATCATAGGTAGGGTGGGCTGTGTTGGCTGGATAGAGAGCCAAAGTCTGCAGTGTTATCAATAGGAAAGTGGGGGCTTGAACCATCAGAGAAAGTCACCAGGAACTGAGGCTCTGCAGGTAATGCTCAAAACTCTAGGCTGGACCACCAGGATGCAGGGGGTCCAGATGACAGGAAAAAACTGTGCCACGCTAAGAGTAGAACAGATGGTGGAGGTACTGGAAGTATGATAGATTATGATAGACAGTGGAGGAGCAGAAACTACGGAAGAGGAGCTGTGGCGAGATGAGAACATTAGTCAACACGACAGGGACTACGGCTTGAGAGAGTTGTCGCAGGTCAAACATCTGAGGGTCTTGGCTTCAAGCTCGGGAAGTGTCACTAGAGCCCCTGAGCATCGATACCCAAGCCCAGAGCTGTAATTGTGGTGCCTTTATACCTCAAGGCTTAGAGCCACAAGTCACACCCTGGAACTCGGGACCACCCCTCTGCCCATCTGTGACTTCTATTCATGCAGAGGAAAAGGATCTCCAGCTGTCTGTGATAACAACCCCCGCAAATGGTCAAACCGGATTCCTTTATAAAGATCCCATGCGTTTAACGGCTTCTACCCAGTGCTTTCGTGGTTCTTGTTTCTGACTTACACGCGGGCTGCTCTAGCACCATGGTTGTTCCCTGAGTGAAAGGGTAGTAAATTAAGAGGACAAGGAGACTTACCTTTTGAAATGTCATGCGTGGCCTGGGAGAGCGCTTTCCCCCTTATTAGGGCAAGTGATTTGTGAGTGGGGACTTGTTTACTAATTTCAAATGTGACATGCCTTCGCTAGGGATCATTCTTTGAGTTTTGAATTGGTTTCTTCTCCCACACCAGCAATATGCGTGTGTCGGTCACCGGGGTCAGAAGGCTAACCCTTGATTGAGTCCCTGTAGCGTGTGGTGTTGCTAGGCTGAAACGTACCACGGCTGGGTTGTATTAGGTGTTTACTGGAGTATGTCTTCTTCATAATTTGAGGGCCATCCATGCACAGCGCCTCGGGTGAGCCAGGCTTTCATTAAACACGGATTGTTTCAAGTTACTGATCACCCTGCAAATTGTGAAGAAGAGAAGACTTCCCCAGTCTCAAACTTAAACGCAGCACGCTTCTGCCTCTTCTGGCAGAAAGCGGAACTGCACCCTTTTAGCTTTTTGTTCGTTTTTGTTTGTATTTTTTAAAGACTTTCTCGAGAGGCTGCCTATAAATTGCTCTGCCACCGAGAAACCGTCTCCAAGAACACGATACTCACATGTCACCGTGCATGGTACTTGAAGCTCCACCGTGAATGTACCCGGGTTTTCGGGCGTGGATTTGGGCTAGAAAAGCCTTCTCGGAGGTCGGTGATGGAACCAGATCCTCAAACTGAGTCCTCGCAAATTCCGAATCCACAGTACTCTCTGTTTCACTCGTTACCTCTAGTGGGCGATTGAAGAAACGGAGAGACTCCTTAGGAGGCTTAGGACCCCGGATAAAGGCCCAGGCTCCACAGGAAGCTCAGGGCCTAGGAACAAGCACCCAGGTTCAACACGCAGCAACAACCAGCTCGCCAGACACCAGCCAGTGGGTTTTGTTTTTTTCTAAAGTGAGAGTCAATACTGAAATGAATGAACTGTAACTTAGGTTAGTAGGTAGCATTTTCCTTTCTTTTATTCAGGGCTGTAATGGTGACTCAGTGACTGAGAGTGAGCTTCGTGCTGTTGTGGAAGACCGAAATCAGTCCTCAGCACCCGTATCCGGTGACTCACACCATCTGCAGCCCAAGCTCCGGGGGATCGCAAACCCTCTTCAGGCCTTCTCACAGACAAAGCATGTGCACAGACACACACACACACGCATTCAAATATAAATTAAAAATTCCCTTTAAAAGGTTAAGATCTCCGTTTATATTTGGCAATGATGGGGGTCTCCAAGAGGGACCCGTAGCATAAAGATCCTTCTGCAGCAAACTTACGAGCGTCAAGCACCGAAACGCACCTGAGTTCAGCTCTTTCACCAGAGAGGACATGGTGTTAGTGATGGAATCAGCGGCTACCAGCAAGTCATTCCTTAAATTCCTTCTTGAACCTTCAATGAAGAAGCAATCATTTAAAAGTGTCAGAGCTTTTCCTTCGCACCCAGTTTTTACCCAGTTTTCTTGTCTACCAAGTCCTCTGAATGAAAAAAAAAAAAAAAAAAAAAGTACGCCTGCCCTAACGTGAAAAGACCGGGAGAATGATGATAGTTCGTAGATTTCATGGTGATCTGGTACAAGTTTGACACACCTCCCCGCCTCCTCCAACCAAGTGACTCAGAAGGGGTGGACATCCTACTGAGGACAGTCCACACAGAAGCAAAGCCTGGCAGCTGTTACGTCCCGGTCCCAGCCATTATCTTGTGGCCGGGCATACTGGAGTCTGTCCCTTGGAAGCACAGGCTCTGTCTCCTGTTAGGGCTTCCACAGATCTCCATTCCGGGAAAGATGCCTTTGACACTGGGGCATCATGTACTGAATGCCACCAGAGAGTGGAAAAGGGGTGAAGATTTTTGCTTCTGCTCCTCAGATGGGCAGATACGTGCCGGGCACCTTAACTTAGAGTCTGACTGTTGGAAGGTGGTCCATGGTAGAAAACGATTATTCTGACGTGTCAGGCACATGAAGGGTTAAATGGGTATTTGTGAGGTGGCATGGGAGTCAGTATGGTAGAGATGGAGCAGAGAATTAATTACCATAACATCTTCAGAAGGAAGCGTTCAAGATTAAGAATACATCAATTACAGAAAAAGTTTACATGGCATGAGTTTTCATGGGCTAGGGGCTCCCTGCAGGTGACATATCATTATCATTTCTCCCAAAGTAATACTATGTGAATAAAACCATGAATATGTTTAAGTTACAAAAATCAAAAAGACTAAGAAAAATCATTAATCATAATATAAAGCACTACTTGATTTAATGTACTGTAGGTTCTATAAAATCTGATTTAGAGAAAGGCCATTTTCCCTTCTAAAAAATGAAAAAAAAAAAAAAAGAAAGAAAGAAATGTATTTTGTGAATTACATAGGTAGCTCTTGGATGATGTTCATGTTTAGAAAGCAGAGCCCTGCAATGGAGCTTCCATTTTCCATTTTGCTCAGCACACTGTGTTAAGATCTTTATCCCCATACATGATGGACGGCAGGGTTTTTTTTTTTTTTTTTCCATGCATGGTTACTATCCTTAGATATGGCTGACGCCAAAAAACATTTTTAAAAATCTGCTGGGCAAATGATGAGTCTGATTAAAATGTATATTTCTGCAGTCACTATTGAGGCTGCACATCTTTTCTTTATTGGCAATTTATACTTCTGTCTGCTGATTCCCTTGGTCTGGTTTTGTTTCGGAGAATGCCTCCATATTTTTATGCATCGCTGAGGTTATAAAATTTGGTTGGCACACACACCAGGGGTCTATTATTTGGTTTCTGTCTTTGCTTATGTTTTGCTTTGCTTGACATATCCAGTTTAAGGTCTTTCTTCCTTACATTGTCACTTGACTACTTGGAGGACGATCATAATATATCTCTAATTTAAGGAAAAGGTATCTTGCAGACCACAAGGTGCGAAATACAGTCTAACTTGGGTGAAGGAAGAAGAGTCTGTGAAGTACAAATAACATGGATACAGCTGTTTGGACACAGGGCCGTGCTGAGAAGGGCTTAGTAGTGGTCACCTGGAGCATCGAAGCATGCTAGACTGGAACGGTGCTCAGGAGGGGGATTTCTTAGTATCTATAAACTTGTAAAATGATGAAAAGAGGAAGTTTAAAATCTCTTGATTTGGGGTGCCTGTGATGGTTAGCATTGCTTTGTGATGAGACAAAACCTAGAGTCACCCCACAAATGGACCCTTAGGCACACCTATGAAGGATGAACTAGATTAACATTAGCCTCCAAGAATGCTTGTGAGGGATTTTTTAACATTGATGGGGGAAGATGCATCTTAATTGTGGTTGGGCCGTTCCCTGGAAAGGGGAGTCTAGACTGTACGAAGTGGAGAAGGTGAAGTTACCCCAGCATGTAAGCATTTGCTGCCTGATTCCTGACTGTGGGTGTCATGTGACCAGTTGCTTCTAGCTCCTGCTGTCTTGACTCCTCCCCTCCCCTTGATCTGTGAGATAAAAATAAATGCTTTATCCCTTCTGTTGCTTTTGTCAAGTTATCTTGTCTAGCAATGGGAAAAGAAACGGAGGCAGCGGGCCTGCGTGGAGAAGGCTGGTCACCAGTAACTCTCTTTCTGACTAATCATACAGCCTTCGCCTTGGAGCTCGGACTGCAGAAGCCAGGAAGCAACTCTTTAGAACATGCCAATGATATGATATGATCAATGTCAAATGATAACTTGTCTTTATCGCCCCAAAGTTAAAGTGCTGGGATTATTTAATCTGAGTCTCGATCTTTGATGATGGTATGAAATAAGAGTTTCAGAGTGAACTGAAGTTGTTATGTTTTCATGAAGCATTTTAAAGAAGTTCTTTGTGCCCTTAGATATCAAGATTTACTCAAAAGCGGGGCAGAGCAATAGAAGCTAGAAGAAGATAGACTCGGGGAAGCAAGCAAGAATGCCACAGGGGCTTTCTAAAATGCACAGGCCAGGCTCTGACATAGGGTATAGGATGACACAGGGTATAGGACACCCTAGCAGAGATGTCCAACCCGGAATCTGTAGGAAACATGAGGCTCAGGACGGCTGTGAGCCTGCCCCAACCCCAAATCACAAAGTCAGTGAAATTGTGAGGTTTTATTCATAACTTGACTGCACAGTTTCCAAGTGTAAATTTTGTCCATGACAAACGTGGCCCCAAGAAGTCAAAAGGTTGGGCTCTCCTGTGAAGGCCCTCATGTGGCTGTGGTGATTCTTAACTGTCTACTGCCCAATGATCTTGGTGAACAATCTGCCAGGCCCAAGAAGAACACAGTAAAGGAGAGAACACTTACTTTGTGCAAATGCCTCCTGCACATCTCCGCCTACCCCAGTGAGGGAGTCCTGCGGGGCGTGCGTTGGTGTGGAGCAGGCAGAAGCTGACCGGATGGGCATGGGGACCGGCCTGCTGATGGTGTGGCTGGGAGAGGAGCGAGGGGAGCCTGCCCCCTGGGTCTGCAGAGACAAGACACATCATTAAATTTGCTTTCACAAGAAAAGCCTGTCATAGGCCTTCTCTAAGGCCTCAGGTCCCATGTTAAAAACGGTGACAACAACATTCCAAAACGGAACAAATCTTAGGAAACTGAGGAGACTATCCTAAGCCTCACTGATGGTGTAGATTAATGTAGGAAGCTATCAGACACAACCCGAAGCCTGTGTTCATATCGGAGTCCAAGAGTATTAGTTCAGCACTGTTCTACAATAGGAGAGCTTTGTCCTTGCCAGAGCTGTTTTCAACAGATAGTTTCAAGGTGTGTCTCTCTCCTTGAAGCAAGTTCTATATAGAATAAAAGATATAAAGGAGAAAGGTCTCAATACAGACTGGGAAACTATTTAGGACAGATGTGGTACATTTGTCCCCTAATTTGAGAGCTGCTTTGGCCTCATCTTTAGACACAGTTTAGATGATGTCTTACAGTATTTCATATCGCCTTTAATAATTGCATTGAGGTGTACGTTTCTAGTCTCTGTTTTACAGTAAAGCTGGCACTGTACAATTAGTCTGCAAGTCAGTGGTCTGCACGGGGAGGAAGAAAAGGAAATCTGGGTGTCCTGTTCTCTTTTCTTCATTAAGAATTGTAACTGACATATTAAAATTGTCCTTACTAATGAGATACCATGTGATGACTTTACATATGTCATATCATGCAATGGTCAACTCCATGGAAACGTATCTGCCTCCCCAAGAATGATAGCATTTCTTTATGGTGAAAACATTCAAAACGTTTTGTTCTAGCTTTTTTAAAGTAATTTAAGTTTTGAAATCATAATGTGATTGTATTATCCTCCCTTCCTCTTTCTTCCTCCTACCCTTCTCTTGCGCCCCCAAATCCTTGGCCTCTTTTGTTACGATCACTGTTGTTATCTGTGGTTCTCTCACCACGCAGGAGCATGCCAGAGCATCTTTCTCTTGGCTATCTGCATCCTCGTATCCACCCATCCACATTTCCCCGTTGCTTCCTTTGTTCTGCTCTCCCCAGCTTCTTGTAACTATTCTTCTGCTTCCCATTTCTTCGCATCAGCTTTTGATATTTGACATCCGTGTGAGCTTATGTAGGGCTTCTCTTTCTGAACCAGGCTTAGTTTACCCAACACGTGAGCTTCAGTGCTGCCCCTGTTGTTGCAATGGCAGGATTTCATTCCTTTTGTGGGCTGGATCATACTCCACTACACACACACACACACACACACACACACGCACACTGAGCTTTCTTTATCCGTTCACGGCCGACAGTCACTTTGGGTCCTCTGGCTACTGTGAACAGAACTGGAGTGGAGATCCCACTGCAGAATACTGACTTGAGTTTCTTTGGACAATTCACTCATTGCTGTTATTCATGAATCCCGGCAACTCTAACTTGCAATCTCCTACAACAACTCCACTAACTTACATTTCCACCAACACTGTTCCTTTCCCTCCACATCCTTGCCCACACTCGTCAGCTTTTGTCTCTTTTTTATGATAACCATCCTTAGTCGAAGGAGGTGCTAGCTCACTGAGGTTCTGATTTGCAAGGATTGTGGTCTCTAATTTTTGGTTACTGTTTTCTGAGGGGAACACCTTTTCCTCTAGACCTTCAAGGAAACTGTAGCAGAGCAGAAGCAGCGAGATTAGCAGGATTATTTATAAAGAAGTGTGTGTGTGGGGGGGTGGGAAGGGTGGAAAACAACTACGACACTTTTATGTCTGCATTGAGATCTTTGGTATGAGCGCTTGAATTTTAAAGCCTTTTTTGTTTTTTAAACAAATGAGGTCCTTGAAAGTAGACTCCTGGTTTCAATAGCTAGCAGAAAAGGAAGAACGGCAAACATGCATGTGAGACATGCAGTATGACCTGCACTAGCAGCTTCCCCCTCCCCCAGTCTGTTGCTTCTGGCCATCCGCGGTGAGAACTCTTCTACAGAAAAACCCAGAGAGGAACTGTCTACCTGTCCACACTCTGAGACCTGCAGCGTGAGAACGTTGCTCTGGAACGTCCTATTTAGACTTTGGCTTTGGGTTTGGCTACTCGCAGTTAAGCAAAACATCCTCCCTCCCCGCCCAACCCACGCACGCGCACACACCATTCCCATAAAGTGCCATGCTGTTAGCTTTCCAGGGCTCAGTATCACACGTAGCTGTCAAGTCTATGGGGTGAAGAACAAACAGAGCAAACCGGGGGGCGCAGCCCAGAGCTCGTGTGCCGCTCCACGGGCTGTGGATTCCAGGCTTACACTTGGAACTGTACCTGTTTGTAATGGTCTGTCCAGGCCCGGGGAGGAGGACTTGGCTGTTCATGCTTTTGCCTGCTTTCCTCGGCCTGCTCAAAGAGGGGGCCTGGGTTTTCCAGGAAACAGCAGCTCAGCCCCATTTCCTCGAAACCATCTGGGTCTGAGCTAAGCCTGCACCTCCAGTGCCCACATCAGTGCCGAATAACTTCACCATGGAGCTGAGCTTTTTATTTTTTATTTGTTATTGTTATTATTATTATTATTTGCTCAAAGAGTTTCATGTGCAGCCCCATGACCTAGGCAGCAGGTATCACCACTCTCGCTGTGTGGTTGTGGACCCCAGGGCTCTGGGGAGTGAAAACGGTTATCCCCGGGAGATGAAGAACAGGAGCCGGGCTCAGCCCGGGAGCTCTGAGAACTCCTGATGAGCCATGGCTGGCAAAGGGTCCATCAGGAAATCAGTGTTGGTCAGGCGCCTTGGGGGCACCTAGCACCTGACACCCCTCCTGTGCACCCAGCCCTAGGCAGGGCTTATGGAGCACTTCGGGGCGAGGGATTGGTGACAGGGGGTGGTTGAAATCGGCTGTCCCACATGGGTCACCAATTCAACCCTGGGAAGCCAGATGTTCTTTCCTAGAAAGTTCACACTAATAAAAATGACTCCTTTTTTTTTTTTTTTTTTTTTTTTGGTATATACTTTACAGGGTATAGAGAGAGCCCTTTACCATTGTTCTATTTGATTTTCCTAATATAGTAAAAAAAAAAAAAAAGTAATACTATAGTTGAATAGCAGTTTGAAATCTATAAAACACCTTATTTTAGGAGACTTTAACCCTCTTAACAGTCGCATGAGGTGTTATTATTCTCGTTCAACATACTAAGGATCAGAGGAAATGGGTGACATGCACAAGGTCTTCAGGCGAATGAGTGGCAGAGGTAAGTTTAGATTGCAAGCCTGGGGGTTTCCCATAGCTTCCAGGATGTGATGAGCATCACATGCCTCCAACGATGCTTTATTAAATTTAGAAAACACAGCAACTAACACCTGAAAAGCTTCTGCTATGGTCAGAGAGTGGTGCCCTTGGCATCACCTTGTGCCAGCTAACATATTTTACTCATTGCGTTGAGGGGAGGCGTGGGTGCCCAGTGTGGCAGGAGGCCCTTTGGGCTATTGGTCAGGGCTGTAAGCTCTTTTTTTATGTCTGTAATCTAAACAGGTCTAACAGACACACACTTAACTGTAATTTGGCCTCAATAGGATGAGAGACTATTGATGTGGTTACATCATGTTATTCTTGGAAAAGTCTGAAAAATTAAGAAATCTGCAACATAGTTGCATGCTGTGCTTTCAGCTAAGGGGGTGTGGCCACACTATAGAATCTGACTGGCTGTCCTGGGGTTTTACACCCAGTTTTGTCTACATATGCTGTGCTAGGTTCTTTAGCACACAGTCCTCATGGGGTTCTTACTTCTGGTGACATTTGTAGGGAGGTCTGTATGTCTGCTTCATAACCCCATCCAGAGCATGCCCCATATAGTGTTCGGGGCATTCCCCACCCCACCCACAGCCTGCCCTGTATGGCACACTCCCCTGATCCTTGCCCCAGCCCGCCCCCTCCATAGTGTACCACCCCACCCCCCAAGAGCCTGCCCATATAGTCCACTGAGCTTCCTTGAGGAGTTTGTATGTCTGAACAAACTCCATATGTCCCCAACTCCATATCTTCCCCCTTAGTACCCATTCTTCAAAGTCGGCTTTTCCCTTTCTTTCCTGTTTCCTGTCCCTTAAACTCCCAACAGCAGTTCTCTGTTGGAGGGAAATAACTTGCTGTGGTTATGTGTTTAGAGAAAAACCTCTGACTGAATCTAAATTACACCAGTGTATGGACAGCTAATAGCTACCATGGCCAAGTCATATCCAAGTGAATAGCCAATTGTTGCAATTTCAAGTAGATTATGTAAATAATTTTGGTAGGAGATCCTGGTGGTTGACAGAACTATTTTAAATTGCCAGCTGCAACTTGTACTTTCTAAGTCATTTCTATCTTTTACCCAGAGTTCTCAGAGTAGGATACTGGTTGCTTGATAACAATACTCCATTTGTCTATGTTAGGACACTGTCTAGTTCAATATTTAGCATCTACTATAGGAAAAGGCTTCTCTGGTGTTCCTTCTGTCCCACTCTTAAAGGGTCAACAGGAAAGGGCGGCTGCCCCTTGGCAATGGGACAGATCACCAAGTTTCATTTTAGCCTGGTCATCCAGCCTCGCTGTCTGCTATGCCCTTTAGAATGAGTTCTAGCAAATTTCCTGAGAAAACCCTTCCCTGGAAATTACTCAATGATAAATGGAGGAAAGATGTGAGGGACAATGGTCCATGCAGATCAATATATGGATCCAACATTCCCAAGGAAGATTGATTTATGGCTGAGGGAAAACATATATTACAGGTGGCAATTTAAAATATTTCTCTTCCTAGAGAATAAGTGAAAAATTAATTTCTACATGCATCCTCTGATTCGACTCCACCTGCTATCACATGAATTTTTAAAAAGGCTGGTAAGACCCATAAATTTTCCATTTTTTTAAATAGGAAGTATTTTGGTTTCTTCAGCTCTAGAAAAAAAAAGATGCTTCAAGGAAAGGAGCAAATAACTGCTGAACGAACTCACTCTGGAGAAGGGCAGAGAGCTTGTTACCATCCTCCTCCTACAACCCACAAAGTCTGCCTCCAGGGACTGG